CTAGCTTGTTCACAGATGATGGAATCTATGATTAATTGCTCTTTGCAACCAAAGGATCCTTTAATACATCCTTTCTGTTCTTCATTAATGATGTTAGAGTTAAAACAGTGTTGATAGATTTTTTGTGTAATGCATGAGGTTAATATTTTATAGATTGTTGGTAAACATGTGATAGGTCTGTATTTTGATGGATTTTTTGTGTCGTTATCTTTAGGTTTTAAGTATGTTACACCATGACATAAGAATGTTGGAAAGGAGGATGGGTCAAGAAGGAACTGATTTAAGTGATTTAGTAAATGAATATGTACACAATTAAATTTTTTTATCCAAAAATTATGGATTTTGTCTGGTCCTGCTGATTTCCAGTTGTGTGTCTTATTGATGGTATTTATTAATTCGGCAAGTGTTATCTGATGATCATTCATTGGTGTAACTGTGGATAGTTTATGGGATATATGAGGAATCCATTTGGCAGATTGGTTAAATTCAAATTCTTCAGACCAAAGTTTTGGCCAAAATGTTGTTACATCCTGTGAACTTGGAAGTTCACCGGATAATTGAGTTTTGTTTGAATTAGTTAAATGTTGATAGAATAGTTTTTCGTTGTTTAAAAATTTAGTGTTATGAATTTTTCTGAGATGTGATTGTTTGTATCTTTTAAGTCGTTTGCTATATAAGGAAAGTTTTTGTAATAGGGTATCTTTAATTTGGGATAATGTTGTGTTGTACTCATTGTAATCAGTTTGATGAAAATTATTGTTGGTCAGTATCGAATGCATACATGTCATGATATGTGGTGTTTTAACTCCTCTAAGGTACTGTGTTATTTGACCTAGTTGTTTTCTAATGTTATTAATTTTATAATTTAACCGTGTTTCCCAATGAGGGGTCGAAGGTATACGATTGGTGTTTGTATTTATTATGTTATCTTTACATGTGTTAATTTGAATACAAGTTAAAGCTGCACAGTAGATAATTGTATGAAGTTTTTCAAAAGAGATCGAGTTTGTGAGATATTTTGGTAAAATGAAGGAGTTCATTATTTCTACAATTGCTAGAAACTTTTTAGAATAATACTGGCGGGGAAGTGAATGTCTATCATTTGGTTTTAATTTGGAACATGTTTCGAAAGTTAATTTAAATTTGTCTTCAATTTCATTTTGGAAATTAATGTGAAATTTAAAATTGTTGTTTACAGTTTTGATTAATGTGTCTTCGTTGTTGTAGTATGTGTTTTGTAGATTATCTGTGATGTTAATTTCGTTTTGGATTGTTCTTGATAAATTGTTAAATGATTTGTCAGTTAATGTTTGGGATCTGTTTGATATTGTGTTTGTAATTTGTGTTATGGTTGTGATCTTATTTTGAGGTGTTTTGTTTAATAAATCTTTAGTAAATGCGTCAGTCGGTGTCTCTGGTGTATTTGATAGACTACTGTTACTATTTTGTGGTATAATTGGTATCTTATTTTGAGATGTTGTTTTTGACAAATTGGTGACAGATGTGTCAGTTAGTAATGTATTTGGTGGTGTCTTGTTGATATCTTCAGGAAGTGGATTAATGGTTTTGGAAACTTCATTTTTTAATTGTTCTAGAGTAAGTTGAGGTATGTAGTTATTTTTAACAATAGCTCTACGTTGATCTGCTAAATTTTGAATGGTAACTGGAAAATTTGGGTACTCACGGCTGAAGGCTTCGTGTAGAGCTGTACGATAATTACTTACATCAGTTTCATTGTTTGTAATTTTATAATATAAGCGCATAATATGTAAATTCATGTCTAGAGACCACTTTTTACGCTTTTTTGGTTCTTCTCGTCTTCTAATGGTCTGAGGCTGATTTGTCTGAGAAACATTAGAGACCAATATGTTGTTAATTGTCCTTGTGGTAGTATTTCCCGAGGTGATGCCACTTGCTCCATCTACCTCTTCGGAGACTGCAGTAATAGGTGTTCGTCGGATTTCGAGTTGAACATTCTCCGTTGTAGGCGAAACAATTTGGTTTAGACTCATTTTTTAGTTGGAAATGTCAGCGTTGACAGTTGGTTATGAAAAAAGGAAATTAAATGCAAATATCGAGTTAAATACTTTGTTGTAATAGTGAATACAGTACCTTGCACTATTATGAGTCCTTTTGAGTCAAATAAAGCTATTGAATTGAGTTTTATCCAAAGATTCCGCCTTGTTAAGAAATTTATGAACAACCAAAGGTCACTTTTTTTTTTTTTTTTTTTTTTTTTTTTTATTTAAGACCCACCACTGACCCGGAAATGACCGGCATTCAGGCAAGACTTCTATCATTACGGGTACTAAGACCAAGTAATGATATGCATTGATTAGATTAACATTATTATTATTATTAATTATATTATTATTATTGTTTATATATTCAACACGGTCACCCCCAATTATAGAATATATTTTCTCTACACTTCAGATATCATTAAATTTCAAAGCTTTTATTCTAATTTTATTCGTACTAAATATATCTAGCTGCTTATTAACCCAGTTGCCTATACTGCACATTCTGTAAAGCGGTGAAAACATGAGCAAATTTGTTCTTGGCGTTGGTAAAACAAATATTTCAGTGTATCTGGACACAAGTAATCTTGCACTTACATTAAACGTTATTCTGACCAAAAAATCTGAGCAATCAATTTGACCATTGACAAATTTATATATTAGCACTGCTAAAAACATCTTGTTGCGTTCTTCTACTGCAGGCACACTGAATCTTTCCAGAAGTTCAGATTGTGGGTACCCAATGCGTGGATAAATTTTTTCTTCTCTATAATACAAATATTTTAGGAAACGCCTCTGAATTCTTTCAAGTTCACCAATGTGTATTACATGGTGAGGAAACCAAACCACGTTAGCGTAATCAATTTTCGTTCTAACTAGTGCAATGAATAACGAAATAAACGTCTTTCTATTTCTAAATTCCTTACAATTTCGCAAAACATATACCAGTGACCTGAAACATTCGGAAACTACCATTTCTATGTGATAACGGAATGTAAGTTTGCTATCAAACTTTACTCCCAAATCACGGATGAATTCAGGTCTTTCAAGTAAATTGATAATCAAAGTGAATTACATTCTTTTTAAGAGAAAAGGACATTATGTAGCACTTAGATATATTTACTGGCAATTTATTAAGATTACACCATTCCAAAACTTTCTCCAGGTTATTTTGTAAGTTAATACAGTCAGCAATCGTATTAACTTTTGTAAATATCTTTAAGTCATCGGCGTATAATAGGTATTTGACGTTTAAACAACTGACTATATCGTTAATAAATACATTGAACAACAACGGCCCCAAAACCGATCCCTGTGGTACTCCTGAAGTTGGAAATACGTACCCTGAAATATATCCACAACAACAAACTGTTTGCTTTCTATCAGATAAGTACGAACGGAAAAGGTTAAGCAATGAATGAGACAGCCCCAGAGAGTTTAGTTTACACAGTAAGATATTATGATCCATTCTATCGAAAGCCTTGGCAAAGTCAATGTAGATAACATTCGTCTGACTACCTTCATCAATTGAGCCAGCCAAAAACTGCGTCACGGACAACAAATTTGTCACTGTGGACCTTCCTTGAAAAAATCCGTGCTGTTCTTTACAGATACTTTTTCTTAATTGAAAAGATAAATTATTAAAAATCACAGTCTCAAAAATTTTGGCAAAGTTATTAATGAAACTGATGGGTCTATAATTTTCGATGACACTACGATTACCCTTTTTGAACATAGGAACAATTTTCGATATTTTCCAAGAGTTAGGAAATACACCGCTAGCCAGGATTTTATTAAATAATATATGTAGTAAGTGGCTCCACGAGTACAGCCGAACATTCGTTTAAAAATGAGGATGGGATTTGATCAGGACCCATAGTACTTTTGTTTTTTAGATTTTCCAATGCCATACTAACTTCTTTCTCCGTAATGCAAGTTATATATATCAAACTACTATTAGGTTCCTCAGTCACAGTATTAATGTTTGAAGGAGGTACGAAAACAGACTGAAAAAAAGCAGCAAAAGCGTTAACAATCTCTGCTGGACCTGATACTACAGATTCGTTGATAGTCATTTTACAAGGAATGCTCCTTTTGCCTTTCTTTAGATTTACATATTTCCAGAAATTACTAGGTTCATTGCTGATCTCTGCTTCAACTTTTGCGTTAAATTTTTTGTATTCCTCAGATACTCTTATTTTAATTTGTTTTCGTAGCTCCTTAAATAGTTTTAAGTCGTCAGAATTATTGTACTTCCTATATCTTCTAATTACCCGAAATTTTTGATTAATGTTTTTTATGATTTCTACAGTGAACCATGGGGGATATGTGAATTTACGCTTTATGTGCTTCGGTACAAACTTATCCAAAATACTATATAAGATACCATAAAACTTATCGCATGAATTATTAACATCCACACTCCTGTCAGTTGGTGTCCAGTCTTGGTCTATCAAAGCTTGATGTAAAGAGTTTATATCAGCTACACGGAAATTGTAACTTGTAACTATATTGCTATCAGGCCTCAAAAAAGTCCGAAAACACAACGGCAGAGCAATATATCGGACCACTTTGTCTCTCTATAGTACCAAACAGTACTGCTCATATACTCGTACTTGCTTGATTTTTAGTCGATAACGTGACTAGATGTGTTTTGACATTTCATACGTTCGCTTCTATTTTGTGTACGTGCGCACAGACCCTCAGTACTTTTCTAGACAGAAAGCAATATCTTCCGTCTCCCTTTGTCCGTGAACACCGTTTCTATGTTACTTCTGAAGAGTTAGCAAGTATTAGATATATGGCGGCACCAATGACAACATTGTTTTCGTTGGTATTTCAACAAAAATCGTATTGACCGCAAAAGAAAATAATTAGTGATGTTCACTGTCTACAATCCTCAGTAATAACAAAGAGTGAATTACTAGAGATTATTGAAAATGCCACCCAAAAAATCAAACATTGGAATATCAACCAGACATGCGCAGCAAGTGGCAGCCAGTAGAGGTGCGAGCTTCTACGTCAAGAGTTGCCGAAACATCACAACAGCATGACGTACGTGTTGAAGATCTTCGAGCAAGAGCGTCTGCGTCAAGAGCTTCTGCAACACCAGAAGAGCGAGACACACGACGTGAAGCAGAACGCTCACGGCAGACTCGATCAAGAACAAGAATCGATCTCAAGAAAGCAGCGTTCAATTACGATAAACACTATGACTACAAAATGCACCGCGATGTTGTCATTGGTCCGATGACTAAATTGTGTCTACACTGTCGCGCTTTGAAGTTTCAAAAAGAAGCGCCTGGCATGTGTTGCTCCAATGGCAAAATCAGTTTGCCACCACTGACTGAACCACCAGAACCACTGCTCACTTACGTTGCAGGAGCACTTTCTACAGCATATTCGGAAATACAACTCATGCTTTCAGATGACATCGTTTGGAGCGACGAATATTGTGAGATATAATAATTTTATGCCCACATTTAAAGTGCAAGGACAAGTGTATCATCAGATTGGTTCACTCCTTCCAGTATCCAAAGAAGACCGGCAATTTTTGCAAATTTATTTCATGGACAATGTGGAGAAGGAGATTGATCGACGATGCGCATTTAGTGTAGCAACAGATCGAAAGATTACTGCTGAATTACGAGCATTATTCCACGAGCACAACTGTTTGGTCCGAGATTTCAAATCCGCATTGGAGAATGTAAGAGCGGATGACTTCAAACTCATTATCAGAGCAGACAAAACCCCATCGAATGAGCATGAAAGACGCTTCAATGCTCCAATAGCCCCTGAAGTAGCAGCTGTAATTGTCGGTACAGAAATTACTCGGCGAGATATTGCTATCAGCAGGCGAAATCAAACCAAGCAACGTATTGCCGAAACACATCGATCGTACGACGCACTTCAATATTCAATTCTATTTCCGCGAGGAGAAGACGGTTATCATTTCGAATTGTATCAAACTCATCCCGTCACAGGTGCTGCGACAACGAAAAAAGTCAGTTGTATGGATTTTTATGCATATCGCATCATGATTCGAGCCGAACAATCCAACCATATCTTAAAGTGTCGTCATGTTTTTCAACAATTCATCGTTGATATGTACGCCAAAGTAGAAAGCGAAAGACTCAATTACATTCGTTACAATCAATCGAAGCTTCGAGTCGAAGATTATATTCATTTGCGAGATGCAATCGCGAATGATGGAACAATTGGTAACATTGGACAAACGGTTATACTTCCAGCTTCGTATACTGGAAGTCCAAGACATATGCAAGAATATGCTGAGGATTCTCTGAAATATGTTCGCAGATATGGACGTCCAGATCTTTTCATCACGTTCACATGCAATCCATCTTGGTGTGAAATCAAAGATTTACTTTTGCCTGGCCAGCAACCATCTGATCGGCATGACTTCACAGCGAGAGTTTTCAAACAAAAATTGATACGTTTTATGGATCGCATCACTAAGAACCACATATATGGAGAAACTCGCTGTTGGATGTATTCCATCGAATGGCAGAAAAGAGGTCTACCACATGCTCATATCTTAATTTGGTTGGTTGAAAAAATTGTTCCAACTCAAATTGATGATATCATTACTGCTGAGCTGCCCAACGCAGAAGAAGATCCAGAATTATTTGAAATTGTGAAAAAAAATATGATTCACGGACCATGTGGGAGACACAACCCACACTCGCCATGCATGAAAGACGGAAAATGTACCAAAAAGTATCCACGCCAGCTGCTGCAAGAAACACAAACTGGTGGCGACGGTTATCCGTTGTACAGACGACGAAAACCGAATGATGGAGGATACACCACAACTAACAAAATCAATAACGTTGATTTCGAAGTTGATAACCGATGGATTGTGCCCTACTCTCCTATCCTTTCGAAATCATTCAATGCACATATCAACGTGGAGTCCTGTAATTCAGTTAAGTCAATAAAATACATTTGTAAATACGTGAATAAAGGCAGCGATATGGCAATTTTCTGAATTGCTAATCCCAATGCGCCCGTCAATGAAATCGAGCAATTTCAAATGGGACGTTATATTAGCAGTAATGAAGCTGTATGGAGAATTCTTGGTTTCGACATTCATGAACGCTTTCCTGCTGTCATGCATCTCAGTGTTCACTTGGAAAACGGTCAACGAGTCTACTTCACGGAAGACAACGCACCCCAACGAGTTGCAGATCCACCAAATACAACGTTGACCGCTTTTTTCCAATTATGTGCAACTGACGAATTCGCAAAAACATTAATGTATCACGAAGTCACGCAGTACTACACTTGGAATCAATCGACGAAGAAATTTTGCAGAAGAAAACGAGGCGCCAGGCATTCTTCTATAGCTGGCATATTTTCTACTGGTGCACTGGGAAGAGTATATACTGTTCATCCAAATAATGGTGAATGCTACTATTTGCGAATGCTGCTCCACGTGTTCAAAGGACCAACATCGTTTCAAGCAATCAAAACAATCGATGGTCAAGAGTGTGAGACATACAGAGAAGCATGTTTTAAACTTGGTTTGCTTGAAAATGATCAACATTGGGACAACACATTAGCAGAAGTATCTGAGACACGTCATGCCCATCAAATACGAACTCTGTTTGCCATAATTTTGACAACCTGCGCACCTTCTGATCCGAAAGGTTTATGGGAAAAACACAAAGAGAGTATGAGCGAAGACATACTTCTCCGAGCACGCAGAAATAATCCCGGCTTGGATGTACAGTATTCGGAAGACATTTTCAATGAAGCACTGATATCACTTGAGGATGTGTGTATGTCGATTAACAACAAAATCCTCAATCAGCTTGGGCTGTTTTCACCGGAACGTGACAGAAACGATGTTATAGATAGAGACGTATTGCGAGAAAAACAATACGACGTCGATGCGCTACAAGTTTATGTTGAAACTCAGAAAAGGCTCTTAACAAACGATCAACGACTTGCATACGACACAATTATGGAGCATGTGCGAGGCGGAAATGGTGGACTTCTTTTTCTTGATGCACCAGGAGGCACAGAAAAAACGTTTCTACTCAATTTGATACTCGCCGAAATTCGAATGGAACATGAGATTGCTTTGGCTGTGGCATCATCGGAGATTGCAGCAACATTACTCGATGGAGGACGCACGGCGCATTCGGTTCTCAAGCTGCCATTGAATTTAAATCTAGCTGCTGATCCTCTTTGCAACATTGGAAAAACAACTGGAATGGCAACTGTATTGAAAACATGCCAACTGATTATTTGGGATGAATGTACTATGGCCCATAAGAAAGGACTTGAAGCACTTGATCGTACTCTGCGAGATTTCCGAAGCGATGAACGTCCACTGGGCGGAGCTCTGATCCTGCTCGCAGGTGATTTCCGTCAAACTTTGCCCGTGATTCCTAGATCAACACCAGCAGACGAGTTGAATGCATGCCTGAAAAATTCGTCTCGCTGGAGACATGTGAAAAAAATTACACTGTCGACCAAAATGCGTGTGCATTTACTTGGAGATGTTTCTGCACAAATATTTGCCAAACAACTTTTGGATATCGGCGACGGCAAACTTTTGGCTGATCCTACAACACAGGAGATAGCGTTCCCTCCGAACTTCTGTCAACTTCAGTCATCAGCTTCATTAATAGTAGATCAGTAGATCACAGTCCAAGCATTCGAATGCTTTGCCTAGGTTGCATAGTGTAACGTGTAACCGATGTGCTATCTCCCTTTTCTATATTATCTACAGCTTATGAGATAACCTGCCCCACAGCCACAGCCGTGGAGCAGCATTTTTTAAAAAAAGAATATAGCCTCTTTTTGACAACTTTCTCTAAAACTGTACCTAAAATAAATTACGAGCCAAACTCACAGCTCGTTGCCGGCCTGCTAGTGGAGAAGGGGTGAGTTCCTGCGGGTGCAAAGGTCAGGTCGCTAGAGGTTCGCAAAGAAGAGAGAGCACACTGTTTTGTGTAGCGACGTCGCCAGGGCGCCACCAGTTTTTATTAAGACACAATTACAACAACAAAAAACCGGAAAAATATTTAACTATTGTAATTGCAAGCTGTTACTTAAATTATTGGTTACAAGAAAACCTAAGGTCACTAATTAAAAATAAAATAAGAGTGATAAATAACTAAATAAGTAAGCAAAAGGAAATGAGTAAGATATTAATGATAACGATTTAATGCGACTAACGGTTTACGATGAATACGAGCAATACGAACGATAGTTTAATTACGAAAGGCGATGAACTAATTAACGATAAATACGAGCGATACGAACGATGTTTACGAAACGAACAAATTAGTTGGGGTCGTAACAAATAACGATTTGATTAATTATTTCGAGGGCTATGAGATAAACGAAGTAGGCCACACGCTCGGTAGTCCTAACGTACGTACGAAGGTATTAACGTAGAGCGAAGCGTCACACTCTTACCGATTGTTATTACTAGGTTATGTGCGAGTGCTAGTTACGCCGAACTTCGAAACGTGTTGCGATACAATAAAGAAAAGGTAAGGCGACTAATACTTAATCTTAATGCGATGGAATGGAAGTACCATGGGCACCTGCCTCCTTCGATATCCACGACGAGATGTCGAAACACAGCGGCGTCGCAGCGAAGTTCCAGTCGATGTCGAGTCGAGGTTTTTGGTGATTCTCCAGCTGTTCTGGGAGGGCTCACAACTGCCCACGACAGTTGGAATTCATAGAATTCGTTCTCCCACTCGAAACTGGCTCCAATTTTCGATCACGGGAATAGCAAGATCAGCGACAAAACAAAAAAAGCTGCAAGGAGAGCAAAGTCTGAGAAGATGTTCGAACTCAGTCAACCCCAAGGGTTCCACATGTCACATGCACTTGGTAAGTAGCAAAATATTATCGTTAACATGAAAATAACCATAACCACTGTTCGAAGGGATGCCAGGGAAAAGCTAATCAAAAGATTTACCTGCGGATCGACTGCAGCTTCTCCGATGTTAGCGGGATGGTCTAGTGCCCTTAACCCAAAATCCGACAAAGTCGTAGTGCTCGAATGCACTATATCTTTTACAGCTCACAAATGCGCTCCAAGCGATAGCACCTTTTAGGGGACCCAACAGATCCGACGAATGCGATTCCAAACGTAACACCAAATAAAAGGTTGCTAAAACGAACTGCAAAAGAGGAAAGCACTAACCCCCAACACCATTCAACACGAAGTACCAAAGCAAAATGGATTCCCTTCCACCTGCGATGACGTGGCAAGGTAACGAAGCGAGAATTAACGGAAGTTTGGCCCTCTAGTGGCAAACTTACGAAACGTTGAATTCCGACGAAAATCCCTAATCGATGTAACTATTAAGTGGATGCGATGGTTATTACAAAAGAAAAAAAAACAAACAAGGCTATCAAGATTCCAGAAATGACGAAGACTCTAGGGGACGCTCCACGGCGTTTGTTCCCACCTAGGTAAGCAAATGAAATTCGCGAACAAAAATAACAAACAGAACGAAAATCGGATTTCAGAGTGAAGCTCTGGGATGGCGCGATCCATCCAGTTCCTTATAGCAAGAACCAAGCTGAAACGATCCAGAAGACCGATCTACAACAGCGAGGCTGAAACACTCATCTGAGCCCCTCCAAGCTCAGAATCATCGCGACAGTCTTGCGACTGGGGGAGTCAAAAGCTCGGGACGAACCCTCCACCAAAGTTGTCCTTCATTGCCACCGTGCCCAACCCAACCACCCATGCACGAAATGACGAAACAAAAAAAAACGAGTAAACAAAATGTAATCCGATCCGAGAATGCCAATAAAAACCGAAATAGCTACTGCGAATTTTCAATTCGTAACACTCCCCTCTTTCCCCCTCTTAGGAAATTTTCCTCAGCGAAAATTTCACACCGATAGGTAGGATAGGCGACTGAACATCACGACTACTCCGGGCTCTGCGGTGGTGGATCCTGATCGACGAAAGGTTTTAGATCCTTGACGTGCCATTTCCGACGGCCCTTGTTGTCGTCACCTTCCAGGATGTACGTCCCATAGCCTATCTTACGCGAAACACGAAAAGGTCCAAGATAGCGAGGAGCAAGCGAAGAAGAGTAGTGTTTAGAGGCGTCCGACAAAGAATAGTTTTTACGCCACACGAGATCACCAGGAGAAAATTCGAAATGTCGACGTCGCAAATTGTAAGCGCGTGAGCTATTCTCTTGGGCTTTGATCAAGCGTTGTTCAACTAGTTTATACAAGCTTCGCAGTTCTTCCTCATCAGGCGGCTTGCGCTTTAAGAAATCGAGTCCATCCGGGTTTTCGATGGTTCCAAACAATTTTCCGGAGCTAACAAATTCGCGACCGAACGTGAGACGAAATGGAGTAAAACCGGTAACTTGATGTACGGAGGTACGTGCTGCACATGCCAATTTCCGTAGATGCCGATCCCAAGAACGCTGATCATTTTTCGCGAACGAAATGAGCATTGCTTTCAACGTTTTATTCACCCTTTCGGTAGGATTTGCCTGTGGATGGTAAACAGGAGTAAAGCGACGAACAAATCCATACCGCGATGCTAGTTGTTGTAGTTCGCGACCCGCAAATTGAACGCCATTGTCCATTATCATAAGTTGCGGTGCCCCAAATAACAAAATGATCTCCTCCTCTAGAAGTCTAACAATATTTTTAGCCGTGGCTTTACGAAGTGGGAAAAACCGACAGAATTTACTGAAACAATCGCTCACCACTAAAATACTCGTATATCCCTGAGTAGAACGAGGGAGTGGTCCAACTAAGTCCGTGCTAATAATTTTCCAGGGTCTATCCGCGATAGGGTTTTTGGCCAGAAGTCCTTTAGGCGCAAGCTGTTCCGGTTTAGTCATTTGACAGGTCCTACACCCACGAACATAACGGGCAACGTCAGAGCGTAAGTGCGGCCAATAATAAACTTGACTGATGCGCTGATAAGTTTTAAATACGCCTAAATGACCCCCTAAAGGAGTGTCGTGGTTTCTTTCC